GGTGTCTAGGGAATTTTTGTAGAAACATATCCATTTAAGGGGCACCTGGGTAGCTCAGTCAGTTAAGCATCTGACTTTGGCTCATTTAAGGGGCACCTGGGTGGCTCAGTCAGTTAAGTGTCCAACTTTGGCTCAGGTCATGATCTTGTGGTGTATGGGTTCGAGCCCCGTGTTGGGCTCTGTGCTGACAACTCAGAGCCTGGAGCCTGCTTTGCATTATGTGTTCCCTCTCTCTCTGCCCCTCCCCTGCTTATGCTCTGTCTCTCTCTCTCTCTCTCTCTCAAAAATAAACATTAAAAAAATTTTTTTTAAAAATCCATTTAACAAAAAAACCAAAGGTTTTTCTTAAAGGCTATATTTATAACTAGCATCAGCAAACTGAATCTTTCTTTTAGTATAATCAAGTAGCTTGATATTTAAAGTAACACCAAATTTACTCTAGCAAAGGGCTACTTTTTTTGGAAACAGAAAGAAGCTATTTTGGGAACTCATATTTCCAGTATTTAGCAACTATTTTTTTTAAAGTATTTATTTACTATTTATCAAGTACCTACTATGTATACAACACTGAGCTAGGGGCTAAGTAAGAATACTATTTCATGATAATGGTAATACCTCAAATTTTTTAAATTATAAAGTATCTATAATTATACTAAGTAGGTTGCCTGTATCATGCTGTTTATTCTTCACAGCAATCAACCATATGAGGTAGAGCCTGTTATTTCTCATACTTGTAGATGACCATTTTGATGTCCTTGGAGATTGTAACTGACTTTCTCAAGGTCACACGACTGTATGGAAAAATCCTGCCTCTCATCATTCATTTGACAGTATTTACTGAGCATGTTCAAGGGGCCAGTACCATGCTTGACTCTAGGGACAAAGTGCTAGACCAAAGAGATACCATGTCATCATGAAGCTTATAGCTTAGTAGGAAAGGTAGTCAAATTAAATTATGATTACAATCAAGGGTGACAATTGGTTGTCTAAACAAAGTATGGGTGGTGGGAGGTACTCAGCCAGGCAAACAGAAGTTAGCTAGGTGCAGGAGTGAAGAGAGGTTTCTTTTTTTTTTTTTTTCCAACGTTTATTTATTTTTGGGACAGAGAGAGACAGAGCATGAACGGGGGAGGGGCAGAGAGAGAGGGAGACACAGAATCGGAAACAGGCTCCAGGCTCTGAGCCATCAGCCCAGAGCCCGATGTGGGGCTCGAACTCACAGACCGCGAGATCGTGACCTGGCTGAAGTCGGACGCTTAACCGACTGCGCCACCCAGGCGCCCCAAGAGAGGTTTCTATGTAGGGAAAGCATCATGTCCGCAACTGGTCACAAAATGGAATCACCCTATACTAAAATACAATTCCTTTTGCTTCTATTATGGCCCCTCCCTGTGTCCCTATCTATTGGCTGGGAGGGCAGTAAAGCTTACTCAGAATTAATAAACCCATAAAGTCCTTTTAGATAGAGCTCAGTCTCTGTTGGATAAAAGTGCCTGTTCCATCTCTCAGATGGCATTCCTCCTCCTTCCTCCCTCCTGAAGATGGTACCATGTGTACAGGATGAGGGATGGCTTATAAGACCTTGTGGAAAGGAGAAGAGGGAGGGTCTTTGGTATGTAGGTCTCTGGCCTCTGGGGCCATTTGCCTGTGTGTCTGCCTGGCTGCTAGGTGCCCTACTGGCCTCCCATGCCGGCACTGGCATCGGGTGAGCTCATGGTCCACTCTCCTCATACTGGCAGGGCTTCCTGTGGTTCCTCTGAGCAGACGAAGGCTCAGGTTGGCTTTGGCTGGAGCTGAGAACACTCTGAGCTCTGGCTGTGACTCCTAATCAGACCTGGCTCAGGTGATCTGCTCTGTGCCTCACTGCCCAGACTAAGCAACCCCTCTAGGAACTCCCCAGACAGATTCTCAGTGACTTTTGGGTTTCTGGAAACTAAGGGAAGAGTTGGAGAAGCTCAATTTGAGTACTTCCCCTACGTAATCACTTTACACCTCCATGTGTAAACGACAAGGACATGGCTCAGCTCAGTCTGTAGCAATGGCCTCTCCGTAGCGTGGATGCAAATGGTGGGGAGTGTGCAGGTGAGAGCTTTTATCTGCCCTCATTGTCATCTTCACTTTTTTAAAGCTCATCTCACTCTCCTGGTCTCCTTCTCTGCTTCATCTTTCCACCATCACCCTAGAATTGGAAAGGGTCTCTTCTTTCTTTTCTCTGTTGTGTGAAACCCTCTAAAGAGAAGATAAAACAATTTACATAGACCTTTCTCAAGAGATATCCTGGGTCTTGCTACAAATTCCTCTTTTTGCATGCTAAAAACTGAATATTACTCCAGTCATTTTCTTGCATTTCCTCTGGAACAAAGCTTAATCTTCCCCCCCCAGATAGAGAGACGCCTCAGGTAGACTGGAGTGAAGATAATGTTCTTGGACAGGTAAAGAGTAAAAACATGTTAAGATATTTCAAAGTACTCAGTCACAAGTGTAAGAGCCCCGACTGAGCAAGAGTGTGGCGCATTTAAGAAACTGAAAGAAACTGACCTGGATCATAGGTAACAGCAAGAGAAGGTACCTCATGAAGTACTTACTCTGTGCCAGCACAGAGAATCATAAGGCAAAGGCTTACCCAAGGGCTAGTGGAAGCCACTGATGAGCAAGACAGTGCCAGGATCAGCTATGCTTTCTGATAGGGGTCCCTCTGGCTGCAGTGTGGAGAAGGGACAGGAAGGAAGGAAGGAAGGAAGGAAGGAAGGAAGGAAGGAAGGAAGGGAGAAGGAAGGAAGAAAGGAAGGAAGGAAGGAAGGAGATAGGGAGGAAGGAAGAAGGAAGGAAGGAAGGAAAAGAGTGGGGGAAGAAGGAAGGAAGACTGGATGCAAGGAATTCAGAAAAGTATAACCGCAGGAGGTCAAGTCGGAGATGATGGCTAGGACAAGAGAGAAGCAAGAAAGATGGAGTCTGGGGATGTATGTAATAGAGACAGAGCTTTGGGACTAGTTGTAGATGTGAGAGGTAGACAAAGGAAGACTCCAGATGAGCCAAAGGCTTCCAACTTAAGCAACAAAAAAGGGCTAGTGACTTTTTCCAAGACAAGGAACTCTTGATATGAAGCAGACTTCTGGGGATGGATGAGGTGGTGGAGCTCCATTCGGACATTTTGAGGACTGGAAGCCCCCCATGCACAGATCTGCAGAAGCCATAACGAGCTTAATATGTATTTTGTGAGGTGAGAAATTCAAATAAAATGTATTCTCAAACACTTTGCTCCCAGTCTCAGCCTTCCCTAAATCTTATTTAAACACTGAATGAGGACATCCTTTTTTGGCTTAATGCTCACCACATCTTACTCCTCTGCCTTTGAGAAGTTTCACCATGCATGCCATCCTCAGGTTTGAATTCATACGAAAATCTACACATCATTTTAGGCAAACTGAATCCACGTCCTCTTACCATGGAGGATAGACACAGAAGAATTCTCTTACATGCAAATAATAGCATTTTAGTATCCAACACTGGGAACACATTGAATAGGCAACTGGCCCTCTTTTCTAATTGCTGCTGAAAGTAAAGTCCATAAGCCAATTAATCTAAAACCAAAACCCATATTTTGTCAGCTTCCCAACTTATGATTATTTACAAAGATATTGTACAAAAGGCCACCTTATTAATTATATCGGTATATGTCTGAAATTTAGACTACTTTGGAGGGTATCCCAGGAAGTCTGCATTTCTCAAAGCTACTGGTTGACTAAGTTTTTCTTTCACGACCGAAGAGACTGGCTCTTTCTATGGAGCAATGAAAAGGATTTTGTTGTTGCTTTCCACTTCAGGCACAAGTTGTAAACACAAACACAGGGAGAAATATATAGGGTACAGAAGCACAAGGAATGATACCTTCCCCAGCCAGAGTGAGGGAAAGGGGAGGGGAAGGTGACTGAAGGACACTGAGATGTCCTAGAATAATGTCGCCCACCTTCCCAGGAGCAGTGCACTCGTAGGGATCCAATGATAGGAGGTGTGGAAGGGCACTGTCACACTGGTAAATAACTCCCCAGACAAATGTGGGAGGATCAGCTATGGTGCCTTTGGCTATGACACAGAAACCCATTTGGCTGAGTAAATATGGAAATTTATTATCTCACATGACAAAAGGTCCTTTGATGGGGCAGGCTCCAGAATCTGTTGATTTAGTGGCTCAATCATATCAAGGACTCTCATTCTTCCCATCTCTCAGCTCTGCCTTTTCCAGGGTGGCTTTCCACTTGGGATGATGGAGCACCTCAGGACAGAGCAAGGTGGCTGCAGCAGGTTCAGGCATGGCAGTAAGACAGAGAGGGTCCCAAGGAAGAAAGAGACCATCTTTCCTTGTGCTTCCTTCTTAGGATCGAAACTATTTTCCCGGAGACCTTTGAAGTTTCCTCCTCATTTCTCAAAATCCTGTATTCAGGCACATGCCCATTTGTAAAGTAATAATAAGGGCCGTGGGACTACCACTTAGGCTTAGTGCAATTATTTGGAATGCTATTTTATTTATTTTTTACTTTTTTTCACGTTTAATTATTTATTTTAGAGAGTGAGAGAAAGGGAGCACGAGCACAAGCAAGAGAGGTACAGAGAGAAAGGGAGGAAAGAATCCCAAGCAGGCTCCATGCTGTTAACATGCAGCCCGCAGCCTGACTTGGGGTTCGATCCTATGAACCGCAAGATCGTGACCTGGCCCAAAATCAAGAGCTGGACACTTAACCAACTGAGCCAGCCAAGCACCCCTGGAGTGCTATCTATTTTTGAGAATCAACCACACATACCGCTACAGCGGTGTTATGGCTTGACTTGAAAGAAGTCATTCTTTCTTCTGGGAATCTTCACTGGCCAAATTTATAAAGAATCTCTGTACTTTCTTACCTCAATAGGACACTGTTTTTCTCCACTTTCAATGCCTAGAAAGCGAGGGTAATGGAAAATGATCAAATCATTTATCAAACCCATGCATTTCAAAACAAACTTACCAAAATCTACAAGTTTAACTCCACCTTCAGTGGTCAACAGAATGTTATTTCCTTTTACATCTCGGTGGATAGTTTTGTTGTTATGCAAATGCTGAAGTCCCTAAAAGGTGAGAAATATACAGTGACTTTAAAGAAAGCATCAAACAAAAGTAACATTTTTCGGATGGATGCATTTGTGCAAAATCAATAGGAAATATTTGTTAAAATTCACATTAAAATGTTCCACACTGAATTAGTGAAACCAAAGTATGTCATTTCCACTTTGGATTTTATAAAAATTCATAAAGCAGAGCATGCCTTCCTTAGCTCTTATCAGATACTTTATCAAAAGCGTGTTGATCTCAATAGAAGAAACATTCCATACACTTACTTTAAACAATAGCAAATATAAACCTATTATTAAAAAAAATACACATTATCTACCTTCATCATAATCAGTCTCAGAAATATACTTAGGATATCAGAACTCCAGGTTCTGTTGACACACAAGGAGGGTAGATTTCTAACAAATAATTAGTTATGTTAAACATTTCAGATTTTGCATATACTCTTGCATCAACAAATACCAATGTACTGGTATTTTCTTAAAAATAGGATCCACATTTTTTATTTAACTAGAACTGCCTCATAATTAATGCACAAACAATTTAAATTGCCTTACCAATAGTGCTTCACGTAAAATATAGGCAATTATGGGCTCACTCATTCTTTTGCCCTTCTTCAGAAAACCCTTCACGAGATCTGTCACTGATCCTCCATTGCACAGCTATAAAGGAACATTCAAAGATATTAAGATGGATATGACATTTTAAGTCCTTGTTATAAAAGGTTTTCTAAAAACATTTTTTAAAATTGTTCCAGGGCACCTGGGGGGCTTAGTTGGTTAAGCGTCTGACTACTGATTTAGGCTCAGGTCATGAATTCAAGCCCCACACTGGGCTCTGTGCTGACAGTGCAGAGCCTGCTTGAGATTCTCTCTCTCTCCCTCTCTGCCTCACATGTGTGTGCTCTCTCTCAAAATAAATAAACTTAAAAAAATAGAATAAAAATGTTTTTTTAAATAAAACTGTTCTCTTTTTTTTTGTTTCAAATGATTCATCATCTTTATGGCTTCATAAATGAAATGAATCATAATTTTAGGGGCACTTGGGTGGCTCAGTTGGTTAAGCATCAGACACTAGATTTCGGCTCTGGTCATGACCTCACAGTTTCATGAGTTCAAGCCCTGTATGGGCTCTGCACTGTCAGACTGAGATTCTCCCTCTTTTTCTGTCCCTCCCCACCCCCTCAAAATAAATAAGTAAATAACTTAAAAAAAAGAGAATCATGATTCTACAAATTAGTCTCAAATTTTAGGATCTAGGGCTTAAAAAGTATTCTTGATTTTTGATAGTTTAATTAAAAGTGCAGTAAGATTCTATGACCTCACTTACAAGGCTATATACTATTTTATATATGCATTAATTTAAAAACATGCCCCCTTCCTGACAAAATTTCAGAAAGCATTAAAATAAGGACTACAGGTAACATTTCAGAAAGCTGTTTTAAATACCATGGTTCTCAGGTTTTTTACCTTCCTCCCTCCCCCCACTCCTCTCTCCTCCCCAAAAGTAGTGGAATCTATGAAAAAAGGGGGATTTTTCACATGCAGGTTCTCCAAAATTAGGGAACATTAAATCCCACAGAAAACTTTCAAAGGAGCTGCAGATTTGCAGAACAGAGAAATACCAATATAAGCATTGGAATCGGAGAGAAGAGATAATTAGGTAATGGTCCCAATGAAGCTTGGACCTCCATGAGTACTTGATCCCTTAATCTCTGACTGTCTAGCCTCTACCTTCAGCCCTGACTCTCCTCTGGGGCTCTTGTCCGTGGTCTCCTTGCCCCTTACCCTGAACTTTCTGGCCTCCTCTTCTACCTGTCTTCGTTACCCACCAGTGTCTGGGAACTAAAAGCCATAATTTCACTGACTCTACTAACCTCAATGGAAACAGAGAAAGGAGGTGTGAGGAAATAAATTCCTGGCATCCTAGTTTGAAATACTGAACACATTTTCTTCCCAACTTTTTCCTAACATGGCGATTAGATTTTATGGGATGCCCAAGACTTCTGATACATTACAGATTAGGTAATAACAGCTATCCATTCATATGTGATATCTCTGTATCTCACCTCTCTCTAGGTAGGTATTATCATCTCCATATTAAAGATTGGGAATGTGAGACACAAAATGATAAAGTAACTCGCCAAAGATCACGCAGTAGAGACAGAGCTAAGATAGGAACTCGGACGGTCTGATTCTAGAGTGGAGCCTTCACAGTTAACCGATTTGTAGCTGACGTCTTTCTCCATTCAAAGAAAACTTCTTTCAGCTTGTAGAGGAGTAGGTGTAGTCCTAGCATTCCAAAACCTGCATTTTCTTCTGCATCAGAAAGGGGAACACCCTTTCACTGGACAAACAGAAGACTATTGCCTTAGCAGCAGAGAACAGGATCACACCATCTCCACTGTGGCCCAGCATGATCAGTTCAAAAAATTACTCAAAACCGACTGAAAAGAAACTCAGAGCCCTTCAAAATGCATGGCATTTATTTAAAAGAACCAAGTTTTAGGGCCAGTTGTAAATGTCTAAAAATCACTGTGGGGAGACTAAATGTCTTTTCCAATTTCTCTAAAGTGTGGCTCCTCTTTGGCTGCTTCTTCTGGGGTTGACTATTACATTAATGCAAGAATAAATAGCTGGAATGTTAGAGCTGGAATGGATAAAGGAACCCTAAACAATGTGCAGGAAATAAAATGAAAAATGAAATACAGGAAGAACTAATGTAATTATGTAATTCACACTAAGCAGTTCAAATTTTACTTTCTAGAGTCAATTTTTATTTGAAACAGTTGTTTTTCCCATCTAGGAAAGTTTAGAATACAGGATTCTTCATAATATACACTTCACTTTGTTTTTTAAAGTAAAGTATACTGAGGTATAATTTACATACAATAAAATTTACCTAATTGAGCTGTAATTCTGAGTTTTGACAAGTGCATTAGTCACATAACCACTACCACAATCAAGGTACAGAACAAATCCAGGACCTAAAAATCTTCCCTCTTGTTTCTTTGTAGTCAAACCCCTCACCAGCCCCTGGAAATCATTCATCTGTTTTCTGTCCCTGTGGTATCAACTTTGCAAGACCGTCACAGAAACTGAATCATAAGGTACGCAGCCCATTCATCCTGGCTACTTTTAACAGAGCATGAACGGGGGAGGGGCAGAGAGCATGGGGTGAGATTTGCAACTACTATGGAAGGAAGAATATTTGTGAGACTTAAAAGATAATAATTGAGTCATTTCCCTTCTATCACTTTATTTAAGTTCACTGGATTTTTTAAAATATGCATATCAGAACCAAAGCAGGAAAAAACAAAGTTTAAAAAAGAAAGAACGTCATTCATTCTAACAGCTGTGACCACTGTACCCTAATTCTGCAGGGCCACTGAGCTGGACTGTCCTGCAGGAGAGGGAACCTAACAATAGACTGTACACTAAAATGCAGTTTTTCCACAACGCTAAAATGCGAGCTGCTCTCTTAAAAAAGAAAGAGCAATAAAAGTCACCCCAGAATGTGAGAAGACATGAGCGCCAATGTTCGAAGACCTTTACAGAAAGTCAGTGAAGACACAAAAAGAAATAGTTAAAACAGACTGTAGGTACCAAATATCAACAAGCCACATACCAATTTGTGGTTGAAATCTTGCTAAAGGTGCTCAAAGTAAGATCACACCATGATTTTTCTAAATCCTCCTTCAGAATTCGCGAAATTTCAAACATGCTCTTGGATGAAATCTACTTTAGTTCAACTAGCATAAAATGCCTTTCCTATATAATCCCATATTTTATATTCTAGGTAAACAATATGGAAAAACTTAGTCAAGCATTTCCAGGCAATGAAGTAGTGAACAAGAGGCCATAGTAAGTCTACGCACATCAAACATACTAACTGCCATTAGTAGTGCTGCCAGCTCAGAGCCTGGAGCCTGCTTCGGATTCTGTGTCTCCCTCTTTCTGTCGCTTCCCGGCCCATGCTCTGTCTCTGTCTCTGTCTCTGTCTCTCAAAAATAAACATTAAAAAATTAAATTTAAAATGTTTAATTTTTGATACCTCAGTTTCATTAAAACCCATGCCCAATTCTTTTTAAGTTTATTTTATTTCATTGAGGGGGGTGGGCAGAGAGAGAGAGAGAGAGAGAGACAGAGAGAGAATCCCAAGCAGGCTCCGCAATGTCAGCACAGAGCCTGACATGGGGCTCGAACCCACAAACCGTGAGATCATGACCTGAGCCGCAATCAAGAGTTGGATGCTTAACCGACGGAGCCACCCAGGTGCCCCAAATCCATGCCCAATGTAACCATTTGCATATCATCTTTGATTTTCCCGTGTTTCATTAAATAATTAGTGCCTGCGTAGATAGTACATTTTAACAACAAAGATTGAGTGCCTATTATATGTGTGACCTTACGACAGCTATTAATGATCCACCTCAAGTTGAGAATCTTGAAGTCTTCCTGATGAGGGACAGGACTGTCCCTTACATCTGCCTAGCAGGATCTCCTATCAGCACGCTTCCTGAGGAACATCTGATCTGTTTTCAATATTGACCTGTGCCTCACTTTCCCAAGGTCCCAAACTTCATCATGAGAGGGCAGGGGTGACTAGAGTACAAAGACCAAAAATTACTCCCGTTTATAAACCAGGAAAAAAAAGAAACAACAACAACAAAAAACCCAACAACATCAAATTGCAAAGGGATGGATAGCAATGATGAAATCAGAGATGGAACTTCACCCAAATACAGAGACTCTCCTGTATTTTTAGCAGGAGACCTCATTCTCTATCTGGAAGTAATGTGAGATGGGAAACAGAGAGAAAAGGGAAAATGCCTTTTTCTTTTGTGCATCTATTCTGTAAAGATATGTACCTAAGATGTTTTATCTTCTAGTATTTAGAGCTCCAGAAGTTAGAAGGAGTCAGTGTAAATCGAGATACTTGTCCTTTGAAGGCATAAAATTCCCATTTTACATAGCTTGAGACACACATTTTTTATCCACTTATTCATTGATTCATTTTATTTGTTAGATTACTTACAATGAAGAAAAAGTCGCCTCCAAATATTTTATTTTTTAGGAGGTTAACAACAGAAAAAGTCATAAATGATGAAACATCTTTAAATCAAAAATCCTCCCCTTCACTGAATGTATACTAGTTGCTCTGCTTGACTATGGTTGTGTCTGCTGTTAGGGGAAATTACTGGGTGAAGCTTCACGTGGACGTTGACAGAAAAGAACCAAGGATGTGAGCAATTCCCTCTTTCTGGACCCTACCCAATGTCTCCTGCAAATGTTCCATGCAGGGACTAGCAAAGTTTATCTCTAGCTGCTGCCTGAAGCAGGAACAGTGCTTTAGTTTCCAAAATAGAAAAGGGTCTTCTGAATGAAACTTTAAGAAGTTAGGTTAAAATGAAAGTCCAGTGGGTGAAGAGGGCAAATACAACAAACATGGAAATTATTAAACAGACTGTAGGTGCCACATGTCAATAGGCCACAGATTAATTTGTGGTTGAACTCTTCCTAGAGATGCTCAAAATGAAACAGCACCATGAATTTCCTAAACTCTCATTTAGAATCAGTGAAATTTCAAATATGCTCTTGGATGAAATTTACTTGTGCTCAACTAGTATAAAATGCCTTTCCTATAAAAGAAAAGCAAAAAT